ACATTGCATATAGCTTAAAGGCATTTCCCAAGCATGCAATGAGAAAAATAGGTTGGGTTACCTTGTTGCCCTTAAAAACGTATAAAATGGAGGGCCCTCTCACTGCTATATGGCATTTTAAAACAATTTTTGCATTTCCATGCATCCCCACGGCAGTGTCCAGCTCCACAATGCCCTCCATTTGCCAATGCCTTGGCCAGAATTGATTTTCAAGATTTGACCCCCATAGACTTCAATGGGTTCACATTAAAGTTCACATCTTGCACATTTCATGATGAGCTTGATGAATGTCCTGTGAATCAACCCAGGCTTATTTCTAGTGTGCGGCCAATAAACTCCCTGATTGGATTCTAATGATACCCAGTTGATATTTTTTAGCTAATATGCTGTACACATCACTATCTTCCACCGCAACCAAGTAGATGTCACTGTCCCTTTTATGTGTGAGTTTGGTATGATTTACTAGCAGCATATCAGAAGCTCAAACTTTGTTTACATAAATTGCATACCACAGGATTTGGTGGAGTTTGGTTTTAATCTCACTTAATTGCAATTTCATATGCATAAACATGCAATGACAGCATATAGATAAGGTTATTTATTAAAGAAGAATAGTTCTAACATATTACATTTAGTGATTCAACCCCATTGCCATACATGGTCAATCATTATGATATTGTCAGTCACATGCTTTGAAACATCAAATCAGCAGCAATGCATCCTTGGAAATAATTTTATAATGATGGCAGCTATGGTAATAGATTATTTTAGGTATATAACACATTGCACATTAATTTTTTTAAATTAAAAATCAAAACTGCAGAAATAACAAAAGATGGAAATACAAAATACAATATTTTAATTTCATGTTTATATACCTGTTATGTAATCAGCCACTTGGAGCAATACTTGGGAAGATTGCTTTTCATTTTATTAGAATTAAGAAGGATATTCATATATTCCTGAGCCAACAGAGCTGTTGTGTCTCTGCCTTTATTAACATTTAACACCTATCTGCACCTTCTGTGAGATACTATCTAATTGCATGCTTCAATAGGTTATTCATATTAAAAAAATGCTAATACAAGCTTATGTTTGCTTCAACATTTTCCTGATTTTTTAATCAGGGAAGTTCTACCGGCATCAAGATTTTTTAGGCAAAATCTGTCACTTGCACTTTATTGTTTATTTATTCTTTCATTATCACATAATACTTACACATTTTTCAACTAGAAATTACTAAAAGAGTTACAGTTGAAAATGTTAGAGACAAAGCATTTAGAAAACATTTAGAAAAACAGTCACACAAATTAAAATACATCTAAGGTCACATTTACCCCCAATGATTGGGGCTAATAACATGAGTCTCATATATTCCTCCGTGAGACTCATGCGATCTGCTATGGGCAAGAGGTGCTGTACAATAAAGTAACACATGTCACCACTTGCAGTTGTTTGCAAGTAAGCACACATGTTGCAATTACCTATGGATGATGGCACCAAGATTCAGACTGTTTGCATCCAAGTGCAATCCTCCACAGGTAATCACAGTTTGTGTGGTTGTCATTGTATTGTATGGCACCTGCCGTCTACAGCAGGAATTTGTAAAGGTGCCCATACACCTTACGATTATCGTACAATAATCGTATGCGATCGACTTTTAGTACGACAATCGCAAGGTGTATGTGTTGTGCCCGACCGACAGTACTGTAAAATCGTACGACTTTTGACGTTCAAGCATGTTTGAAAACTTTGGTCGATCGTACGATTTTCGCATGGTTGGTGGCGTTTCCGTCCGTCAAAAGTCGTATGAGTAACACTGCCTCTAATCGCAAACGAAAATAAGTGCGCTCGATTTCCGCAATTCGTCCAGGTGCTTTTTTTAACTACCGCTGATTGAACCTTGCGATAATCGGGGCAGGAAGGGGCCGCCGCACGACAATCGTACGACGGTTCGATCATCAGACGAAAAGTTTCCTCCGATAATTGGAAGGTGTATGGGCACCTTAAGTCTTATGCAATCAGCCCCATTTATATAGTTGAATCGCACCTGAAGGCTCCTGTATAACAGTCTAAATAGGACTAACTTCCTTTACCTTCCCTTACAGAGCCAAATCCTTCATTTGTGTCCCACATGCCTCCCCTCTCATAAACTGCAGCCTACAGTATGAGGGTTTCAGAAACAGTAATGCTGCCATTATAAAAAGAAGTGGACAGGACTTGGTGTGGCCAGGTGCTGATTGCCAAGCTACAGGCTTGTGAATCAGCAGTGGCAATTCTGAAACCGATGCCATCTGCAACATTTGTTCATCCTACTGTAGTGGAAGCAGAGCCTACATGAGAGTGGCAGCACTGTTCTGATTTCAGGTGCAGTGCAGCATTGTTGCCATCCCATAGCAGGAATATGAATAGGGTGGACTTCATAGTCAGTCTCAGCAAGATGTTTGTGGGACTTTGCAGGGGGACTAAGAGAAAACTGTAAGTGTGGATGCACTTATAATAAAGTTTTACAGCAAATATTCTTATGCAGATGTAGATCAGGATGCCTGCTGCCAAAAAATACAGGGTTTAGGTGTCCGATACATATCCAACTTTCTTTATTGTATGTAATGTATATTCTAAGCTTTATTTTTTATTTGCGAATATCTAAATTAACATAAATGTGTTAATATCTCTTTTTAGAAAAAAATCATATTGAAATTATTTACTGGAGTAGGGAATGGTTAAAAATCCTATCAGATTTGTTGAAATCAGTGTCCTAGTAGGGATTTTTTTTACACTTTATGACCTGTAGATACAAGATGTCTCTGAAGGTTCTCCTTCATCCAGGTCGTGGTATATCTGTAAAAAATAAGTCAAGGCAACTGGACTTGCTGTATTTTTTCTTGAAGACGTTTCACTGGACATCCAACCAGCTTTCTCAATTCAGATTGACAGAATAGTCATTCTGAATTGAGAAAGAAGGTCGGATGTCCAGTGAAGCGCCTTCAAGACAAATATAGCTAGTCAATTTGCCTTGACTTATGTTTTATAGATGTAGATGCAAGAGGAAGTAAAAGGAAATTTCTCACCTCCTGGACAGCTGTTACCAGAACAAGTGCCCCATTGGAAGATGTTCTCACTCTCATTCCTCTTCTGGTGACAGCTTTTGGATTTGCCCTCACTTTCAGTCCCCATGACAATGATCATCAGGACAAATAAAAAGAATGAATCTCTTTAGCAAGGACAGAAACAGCGACTACACAATGCAAATGGGGTTTACAAGGCGCTACTGACACACTAATATACATAAAATACTGTGTATTGATACAGTTCATAAAAAGATCACAAAATGAAATAAAAGATTAAAAACAGGTTAATGTCCCCTGTTTCAGGGACCCATGCCTCTCATAGCCACAGCAGTAATACAAAATATATATTACATATATTGCCCAACACATTAAGTGTCTCTACAGGCTGTAGAGCGCTGGTTGATGGCCAAACTTTGGCATGTTATGATACCCACTCCTTTTATGCACTTAAACTTTAAAAGTGGGAAAAACGATAGTTAATACACTTACCTCTGCTCCAGTTTCCATGGTGCAGCAGATTACATCATGTTTCTGCCAATGAGATCCCAAGGAATGGTGAGCACTTCAAATTTAATGAGAAGACACTGCAGTACAGTGGTGGGCAGTGATGGCAAATTTTGATTTAGTTTTAGTCTTAGTCTTTTGACTAAAATGCCGTTTAGTTTTAGTCATATTTTAGTCATCTGAATTCTTATAGTTTTAGTCACCTAAATATAAGATTTTATGCTACTAAATCTACAGTAGATTTAGTGTACTAAAACCGAGTGGGTTTAGTTAAAGAGTAATATAAGAATTTCTCTAGAATTTCCAATCTCATTATATACTCCTGGAGTAATAATCTTTTAACCTGTTATCACTTATGGTATTAAGGTTTGAACATGCAATACAGACACAGATTTAACTATTGTGCTATCTATCATCTTTATTTTTCTTAAAATTAGATTAAACCAAATCTTATAAAGATGTAGAGTATTTTCAACAAAGGACTAGTAATTAGATATGCATTGATTATAACAACTTGCATATGACATTCTTCATTCTTTCAAGCAGTGCAAACTCTAAAATATTAAAATGAAAAACTATATTGGCTGTAATGCCATTGCACATATTACCTATTAGCTGTCCATTCAGGATGGAACCAAAACTAGAAGTCCGAAGAGATTAGTTCTGATTGCATCTCTTCCCAAATTATCTCTCCCTAACATTTTAGTCTAGTTTTAGTTAGTCGACTAAAAAATGTCAATATATTTTCATTATAGTTTTAGTCATCATAACATAGTTTTTATTTGGTTTTAGTCTAGTTTTAGTCACTGAAAAAGCATTGTTGACAAAAACTATGACGAAAATTATTAGTCGAAGAAATTAACACTGGTAGTGCAAGGGTGTTTTCTGCAAGATTTGGAGTACTCTACATTCCCCAGATCTCACCAGAGGAAGCATGCCACCACTCTCACCTATGCACCATGGGCAGAACCAGGGAAAAGGATAGGATATTATCTAACTGTCCCCCTACAGGTTTACTTTAATATTTATCCTGCTTTTTCCAAGGAAGGGGGCACCAAAACATATACCTTGCATTTTAGATTTAGGGTCCACTTTAACAAATAGTAATCAGACAAATTCCCTTTCATGTAGCTGAATAGAGAAAACTAAAATTTGAGTGCTGCTATGACTTGTTTTACTTTGTACATCATAAATGACCCTTGGCAAAGCCTATCTGTTTAATGAATGCAAAATGAATTTCTTTTGCGCAAAAAATTTACATTATTATTACGGACTATAAGAGACACCGATACACTCCAATACAAAGTTCTGGGATATGATGTTGTAGCTTCCCTAAAATAACAGTAATTATAAAAGGTAGTTTTTTCAGCTTACAAGCTCATATTTCATATAAATCATGTTGTGATTTTTTTTTCTGTTTTTCAGTTTTAACATGGAGCCTAGCTATGATTTTCTACATATATATGAAGGTGATAGCTCCGCCAGCCCAATCATTGGAAGCTTTCAAGGCTCTCATGCACCTGAAAGATTAGAAAGCAGCGGGGACAGTCTTTTTCTAGCATTCCGAAGTGATGCATCTGTTGGAATGTCTGGATTCGCCATTGAATATAAAGGTAGTGTCTTGGCAAAGATTTCTCTGTTATGTCAATTTCAAGTACAGTATAACCTGTATTATTTTTTATTATCATTTGCAGGTCAGGTACCATCTTGCTATCTTAGTGAACAAGCAATTAATCCTATTTTAAAATAGAAATCGTATGCAAAAAATAGTATGCATGAAATCTAAATCAGTTTTGCAAAAAATGCATAAATGTAAACAAACAAATATACCACAGTACAATGTTTCAACAAGTAAGATCAGTTGTCAATAATGCACTGTATTTTTTTAAATTACAGTGTGAGATCAGAGTTGACAATAATTGCACTCCACTGCATCTACACTAAAAAGAAAAGTATTTATTTTTCAGTGAATGCTTTTAAAGCCTTTCATATCTTTATGATATTGCTGAACTGGGGTCTAGGTTTAGATAAAAAAGCTTAAATAGTAATAAAGGTAAAAATGTGAGCTCTAAAACAAACTAAAGTACAAGCAGCTGTGCAAATATCCAAGAGGCTATAATAATACATAACACTTATATAGAGCGCTAAACAAATATAGTCACAAACAAGTTTAATACTGTCAAACATCATAGGTCGATGAAGAGAAAAATGTCCACATGAATGAGGAACTTTACACATAATCCCACACCACATAATTGAATAAAATGCTTAATGCAGATCTTCAAAATGGTGGCATAAAATAGCCACCCCTTAATAATAATAATAAGTTCTTATGTACTGAATTAAAGTGAATCTTTCAAATAATGAAGTATTCTGGTAATGATTAAATCAATCCTTCCCAATACCAAAGACCCTTTATGAGGTTATGGCTAGAGCAATCTAGCCATAATGGCAACATCAATTCTTCCCTATTACTCCAGAGCAGTACAGAAGAATAATTGAGTGATTTGTTGATAGGAACAACAAATCACTTCTTTCAAGTCCTTCCTTCAGACACCTTTATAGTAAAATCCCACCAGGAGCCTGACACCAATGGCAAGCTTTTGGGGCTGTTTCTATTCGGAAACTTAATGGGAGACTATTGCTGTCTGACAGGGCACTATCTTTAAATGTCTGCTGGCTGCTGGGCCCTACAGTGGAATGTAAACAAAGGCCTGAGGTATAGCCAGTTAGGCCCTTGATCAAAAATGAACGAGTCCATTTTTGGTCAGTGTCATGACTGGGTATACCCTACCCCTTTGTTTACATTAAGCTGCACGCTAAGGAGCTGTCATTCTGCTTTCATTCTCCTTAGTCTTTCCCCTGGTAACCAGGCCCTCATGCTGAGTGGTCTGGTGAAGTTTGGAGAAGGGGGTAGCATGCTTTCCTGGCCTTCCAGATACCTGCTCGGATAAGGGCCTGGTAATGGATTTTAAAGGGGGTTGTATCATACAGAGGTGTCACCTTTCCAGCACACTACATAGCTGTACAAGTGAAC